TCGGGGCGGGCGGCCGCGGCAGCCTGCTCGTGCGCTTGCAAGCTTCTTGTCTTCGGAGCAGCCCTGTAGAGGGAGCAGTAATATCGGACTTGGTCTGTCTGTCTGCCTTCGACAAGGTCAGCGGAGAAAATCCCTCTCTTCAATTTAATTTCCATGAGCCACGTTAGATTTGTGAGACAGATCTGAAGTTACATGGTGACATAGGTCCTAAATCCAGCCAGGAACTAAGGCCAGAGACGGGGCTCAGGCACAGGCATACCAACAAAACAGCTCAGGCAGGTACTGAAGGCCGCCGGGGCTGAGCTGCAATCTGGCTCCTGGGCCCAGGAGCAGGGGGTGTGGAGGGAGGCCCCCAGGGCAAGCTGCTCAGGCCATTAAGACCTCTCAGTGCCCTCCAGGCCCTGACATAGAATCTGTCTACATAGTCCTGTAAAAAAAGCCAGCTGCTGCAGGACCAGTGTGAGCTAATACAATAGGGAAAAAAGAAAAAGGACAGTGCCTCTTCTCCTGTATTTCAAGGTAGGTTTAGGCAGTGAAGGTTCGCTTGCATGGAGTCCAGCTCTGACTTGGTAGCGCAAGTTACCCAGAGTCTCGAACATGTGGAGGAACTAAAACTCTCAAGTGTGTACTGAGTCATTTTCTTAGGAAAGCCTGTGCAACCAAAAGTGGTATGGAAATAGCTATAGCTACTTAGCTACTTCCAGGTTGGGAGGGGTTTTGGTCCGCTGTTTTTACCACTTAGAGGGCAGAGCTGAAAGCCATCTTTTACCAGCTAGTCTTATTTTAAGTACATCTATACGTTAAGTTATGTATCTCTGAACAGCCATCTAAATTCAGACTCCATGAAACCCGCTCTTTGGGTTACTTGGCTGCATCAAGACATGCATATCAGACAGCACAAATCTATCCAAATGGGGATCCTAAACAGCTTTCAGACAGTCTCTTTGTCATAACTTAATGTGTATAATGTATCCCTACCTCTTCCTCATATGTAGAAGAATTAAAGGGAGTGGTTGATACCAGCAAGAAGAAAAAGCACTAAAGAGAGACAGCTGGGAAAAGACAGACAACAAGGCCTGTTCCGGGAAAGTAGCTATGTCTAGGCCCTTATGTGTAAGTAGTTCACTGCTTTTCTTAAATCCACAGTTACTCTGTGCTGTGACAGCTGAGTGCTGTGATACCCAAGATATCTACAACCACCTTCTTCTCAGCCAGCTCCTTTTGGCACCTCTTGCCAGTTATGCCATCTTAGTGCCTCAGCCTAGACCCACTGTCTAGCCGTGCACCTATGATCTTTCAGGCCCAACTTTGCGTAACCCTGTCTGTGTTCAGGCCTGACCACAGCGTCATGTTTCCATCTTCCCTATCAGTGAACAAATCCAATCCTTAATACCTTGTTTTCTCTTTAATTTGTGTTTGGTTGTTCTTCAGAATAATAATCATCTTTTTACTCTCTTTTTACTCTGCCTCGCAACAGAGCCACGAGCCACAAGTCTTACTCTAACATTATCACAGCACAAGTTCAAAGGACTTGCAAGCTCTCCTCCCTTCTCTTTCCATCCTACCTCCATCCCTCTATTCGCTGTCTCCTAGGACCTCCATTTCTCTATTTTATCATCCTTTGATCTTTTTCCTCAGGGGAAGGAGCAATAAGGCTATCGATAATAGCAATAATACTTGAAAAGTAGGAACCTGCCTGACCAGCCTGGCACCCAGAACCGCCATCTGCTGATCTCCAAGCATGGACCACAAGAGGGAGCATTTTGTTCAGTTTATTGGCAAAGACTATTTTTCCCTATGTGAAGCAGAGAGGAAAAACCCAGTTTCTGGTATGTAGAGGTTTTCCCCGAGCATATTTACTCAATAAGCATTTTCATAATAACATTTTTTCCTTTATCATGCAATGCATTTCTTTTACATTTCATAAAAGTATTATATGTGTATAGTGAGTTTTATAATGGGTATTTAAAATGTAATTAAAGTCTAATTTCCTGTTGATCCACCTGGCTATACAGTCATTCATTCTGGGGAAAATAACATGATGTCAGTGTAGGGCATAAGTAACATTTTCTATTTTCAGTGTGTATCATACCGTTCATATATCTAACTACCAGCTATATGTTTTTCAAAACCTAACTGCCATAGCACAAATAGATGCAAGGTGCTTTTTTTTATATATTTTTGCAGGCAACGCCCATAAAATAAACAGCGTTGATTTAAAATCACTACTGGCATGCCTCAGTCCAAACTTAAGTCCTAACATGAAGCTTCCGATCATTTTTTATCTTAATGACCCAAAGTTTTATGGCGGTAGAGATAGCTAAGTGTAGTTTTACACAATGCATCCAGTATTACTGTTTCCACCATGAAAAAATGGCACTTACTGCCTATAGCCAGGTCAAGACATGTCGGTTATGAACCCTGCTGTACACCATTCAGCTCAGCGTATAATGCAGAGCATATGTGCCTCCCAGGAGGTCCTGCTCTAGCCATTTATTTTAAAAGCCATCCCTGCTCCAAAGAAGTCTATATAGGAGTTTTCCCAAAGATGAATATACTTGCTGTTCTGTCAGTGTAATTTATTTTTGATTGTCTAGATTATTTCTGTCTCTTACCCCGATTACCCTGGATATTTAAGAGTTGCTTATGTACAGAAGACGCAAATGTGCTCCGCTAGTGTGTCTACTATGGTTTATATATGTCATGCTTCTCTGTGACTATCTACAGGTTAGATCTTGATGTCTTCGCTCCATTTTCAGTTGCAAGTGAAGCTGCCAAATAAGGTACTCACTGTTTGGCTTCTACAGCCACAAAATGTCTTTCGCCTAACAGCTAGAGAGACAATATCAATACCTGGATATTAGTCAGAATTGGCATCAGAAGTCCTTCCCCTGCAGAGTTTTTCTCTGTTCTCACCCAGGTCAAGTACAAGAATGTCAGTAATGCGGGATCAAATGCATGATCGACTGGATGATCTGCTATCATGGTGTGACAGCTATCATTTACCACTGAGCACTCAACAAGGTAGGAGAAGTGAGGTGCGTGGGAAAGAACGTCAAATACACCAAGGAAAACATGAATCTGTACGCCAGTACATGATGTTCTGAACTCGGCGCTGAAGGCTGCTTATGTACGTCACTCATTGGACTAAAACGCTGTTCTATTTGAAATACAAGGTGGATTCCTAACTTGAGAGAGAACTTTGGGGTGTGACGCCTCCTGCCAGGTCCCTGAGGGGACCCCAGCCTTGCTGCCCCCCTCCTCCCCCGCCCAGGCCTCCCCTCAGCTTGCCCAGCCGCAGGCCTCATTTCAGCCCAGCCCAGCTCAGGGCCATCAGTCCCTGCCCCAGTGACACAGTTGCTGTGGCTATTCCCAGCTCTGTCTCCAACCCCATCTTCTGCTGATCCTGACTGGGCCTCCTGGATGGATCCTGACATATCCTCTTGTCTTCTCTGGGAGTGCTGATGGCCACTGTTACCAGCAGCTGGCTCTGCCCACACAATGGGACTGAGCGCCATTGGGGAGGGCACTGCCTGCACATTGGGGTCCCTCACAGCTCCCAGCTCACCCTCCCTCATGGAGCAGCCCCACTGTTGCTGCTCCCTGACACCCAGTTCATCACAGGGGCTTCCTGGCAGCCCAGATGTGTAAAGACAGCACAAAATGTAGTTCTTCAAGATAATCCCAACTTGAGCCAGCAAGTTCAGCTGGCACATTGCTTCTTGGCAAGGATTAACTAAGGCTCTGCGTGACTTTAGTACCACTGCACTGCTTCCATATTCAAACTGGGTCACGTGAAGCCACTTCAGGGGTGCCTGCACCTATACTTTTGCAGACTTAGTCTTATAATTAAAGCAATCCTAACAGTTCCAGTGTCACTAAAGAGCTATACCAGAGAACAGACAAGATGGACACCCACCTCAAATTTATCCAAGAGGGGCAAATATTCCTGAGACCTACCAGTTGCTGCTGCCAGTCCTGTCCTAGAAGCTGTCTTCAGCAAAACCTGGGGGTTCACTGGCAAGGTGGAACTTGTAGGGTTGTTTGCTCCTACTGCATCCTATCGCTGTAGGTTGTAGCACTCATTTACATACCTCACCCATCCTTTCTCCCCACCCCCATCCTCACCCAATAAAGGGTATTTCTGAGACAGAAACTGACTGAAATGAGGTGTTCTGAGGATCCCTGGTGAATGAAGTAGTCACTGGAGGGGAGCTTAAACATACATAAATTAGAGCAGCCTTAGTCCTATACAGCCATCTTGTCTTAGTCTCCTTTATTCCTTTAACTTGGAGCCACGACATTTAATGCTGTCTGCCTCTTGTACCTCACTCATCTATGTGTGCCAAGCACAAGCTGCAAATGATACACTGAGAATCAAACAAAATAGTTACATTTGAGGTACCTAAAACCGAAAATATCTGGAAGCATTAAACTATAGGTATATTTCCCAGAAAATGAGAGCCAGACAATACTCGTGCCTCAAAACCCTTATTCCTTAACTAACCACCAGGCATGTCAATAGCATGAGTTGTAGAGATTATTCCTGTGTGCAAAAACACTGTTCTGCTTCCAGCGAAGGGTCAATTATGGAGATTTCTCTGAAATGAAAGTGTTAGCAGCACATCATCACAGAAAGACCCCAGTGCTTCAGACTTGCAAATCCAAGCACGAGTGGCTGCATGATAAGTTATGCGACCACACCTAAATGACCTGTCCTTTCCAACACCAGAACGGGGTACATTCTCAAAGCACGTGCCACACATTTAGCCACAGGATCTTCCGTGTTGGAGCAAGACACACTGTCTGCTTCCTGAATGCTTCTTTGAAATGCTACACTACTTTGATATTTTTATTTTCATGGTTTTACGTGCCAAGTTTAGTTATCAGAGAGGGTGAAAGTGCTTGAGCTTTAAATAAGCCTTATGATATGCACTACCAGCTGTTTGTAGCTGAATGACAGAGGATCTGTAGCTAAGCTATACCTTTGGCCTATATTGGGTGAATTTTGTGGATACTACAAATGAAAGAACAGATGGGAAGTCCTGACATATGGTAGGATCAAGGCCGATACAGTACATAAATTTAATGCTTACACACACAAAATGATTCAAGCTTTACTGAAAAACTTAAGAACGAAAAAGATAAAAGCCAGTAGGTTCTATGGATATCCATAAGCTGATAATTGATTATGCTGCAGCACAGAAGCATAAGACGTCATCTGCTTTATCAACTATGGTTCATTGACCAGTGTAACTGAATGCATTCATGTAACAGAAGCAGACGCTGCTTTTGCTTGCCCAGTGGCTTAGATTTCCTTTAAGACAGGTAATAGCCTTGCTGACAGGCACAGGCTGCTATTGTCACCACCTGGGTCAGTCCTTCAGTCAAGATCAGCAAATTGCACTAACAACACCTACCTGTGAAAATAGTATCTCCAGTTTCCATGTAGTGAGTTAAATGGAGAAAGGCTGAGAAAGAAGCGTCCAGTGGGACAGACAAAGGCATAATCTTTTCCGATCAAAATCACTGAGAGTCTCCACTGCTGGTAGGTCTGACACAAAGTTCACAGAACAAGAAGCCTGTTTGACTGGAAAGGTGTAACTCTCTGTAAGGAGCAGTTTCCAAATGTTTCTTGGAAACTTTGTCATAGTTCCCAAGTTATTCGAAGTCTCTAGCTAATCTTCCAGAAGAGCTGTGACCAGCTGGTCGCTGTATGGCCTTATAGCCTAGATTTGTATTGTATTACAGCCTAGAATGCATTGTCCAAAAGGACTTATGTGAAGAGGCATATAATTTTAACTCTGCTTAATGAGGTTCATGGATACTATCCTGTCCTGACCCCAGGTGTTCTATAGTCTCAAGCAAATCTGTGTGTTTTAATTTACTTCTCTGGAAAGCAAAGCTAATACCGCGCTTGAAGGTAAGTCAGGGTTTAGTAAGCGTATCCTGATTTCCATGAGCTCCATAAGCCTGATGCTGAGTTATTAATACGCAAAGCTTAAAAGTTAAATCATTAAGGAGTTGTTATTCCAAATATGGTAGCCACCACATTAACAGAAGGGCCTTTAAGCAAGTATTCCTTAGTAGTGAGAAAGTAAACTGGGCAACAGCATATTACAAAATGGTTGACAGTTAGCTGAATGGAGAATTCTTTATTTAGAGTTTAAAAGATGCTTTAGCTTGGCTTGATACTCTCCCTGCCCCTCCTCTCCCCTTCCTTTCTTTACAATCCAGTTTCTTGGCTTCTTAGCCCGAGAGGTTGTGGTACTTAAAAGAGCTACGGTAAGCATTCATACTCGCTTTCACCAGCGAGGTGTAAGGGAACTGAATACATTCATAATGTAAATAAAAGTAAGTCAGAATGTAAGTCAGAATCACAACGCAAAATTGCCATGGTTTCTTTGCTTTCTGATCTCTCACCTGCCTTCTCTTTGCACGTTCTGCCTTGTTGTAGTGTCAGGTCTTTGAGGCAAAGGCAGAAACTTCTTTTTATGCTCATAAGCACCAGTGCAATGCAGGTCCTAGCCCAGTCAAATAGATTAGTAAAATCACAGTGCTGGCTAGGCTTCTGTACAGTGTAAGGGACCATAAAATGTGTAAAGATGAGCCATGCCCCAGCTGAAGGTAAAAGAGCCTACAAGGCAACAAAGTCAGAATTTCTGAGGGCTTTTTCCCTCTGACATATGGGTAGCTAATGATGGAGTAGTTGGCAGAGAGTCCCAGTGTAGCCAGTATGACCAAATTTATATATCAGGGAAAATTACTGATGCCAGAACTACACCTAGAGCAGATAGTTTTCTCCTTGCAGAAAGAGAAGGAGGAGGTCAGAGGTGCTATCGGTTCCTAAGGAAGCTTACCTATAGGCCCTATTTTTGGCACAGAAAGCATCAGTAGCAAGGATAATTACTGTTGCATTTAGAAAGAAAAGCTGAGCAGAGCATACTGGGGCAGTCAGATTCTGAATAAATATACTTTTCCACAACTGATGAGAGAGACTTGGTTTAGAGAATTTCATGCTCAGTTTGCAGTGATATGTCATGAATAGTCGTATGTATGGTTTGAAGCTCCAGTCTCGTTCTAAATTTTTTCCTTTTTGGTTCTGCCAGTACTACTAAATGTATGTTTCTTTCATCTGTACAAGCTACCGATGTAACTTGAAGCAAGCGCTGGAACAGGTTGCCCGGAGAGTCTGTGGAGTCTCCATCCATGGAGACGTTTGAAAGCCGTCTGGACAGGGTCCTGGGCAACCTGCTCTTGCTGACTCTGCTTGAACACGGGAGGTTGGATCAGGTGATCTCCTGAGCTCCCTTCCAACCTCAACTATTCTGTGATCCTGTGAAACCTTGTTGCTTTCTTTCTGTAGGTGTGCTTTTTTTTAAAGACTATTTTCAAACAAAAGTGATTGTATATTTGGACCTGAATAATTAGGCCTCTGTTTGAGTGCAGATCAAATGCAGAATTAGAGGACAAAAGCATAAACTTTCCCCTATTGCCTTCTTAAATACTTCCTTCTATCTGTACAAGCAAGTGCATGCTAGCCTTCACTATATTATTTTGAATACCGTTGCCAGGATTACCAGTTATGGTGTAGGCCTTTCTCAATGAGGAGCCAACAGTAGCTAGCAATTTATTTCACGGCCATACAGCAATTTAGTCACAAGAGCTACTAGCTGCCTCAACCAGATAAAGAAACAGGAAGCTCGAAAGAAGTCTGTCTTCTGCTCCTGTTGCTTGTAACCTTCCAGATTTGTAAGGCTATTTTTGAAATGATCTGCAAAGACACTTTAAGCTGATATGGCTCTTGCCTGATCTTTTGTGAGGAATGAAAGCTGATGAAGATTTCCCTCCACTTCTTTCAGCATTCTCATACCTAAAAAAGCCAGAACAAGATTCATCCCTGTTATCTAGTAACTAACAGGAATGTTGAGTCCACCACTAGCTAGTTCTTCTTCCTATGAACCTTGGGAACCTTTGCAAACTCCCTTACCATTATTACAGAGAGGCTGAACCAAATCATTTTT